TCATCCGCTATCCGTGTTCCCGTCCCATCCCCTATACCACATGTGAGAGCCAAGGTTCCAATGTAACCGCGAGGGCCGCAACGAAACTGGTGGTATCCACACTTTGACGCCCCTTATCAGTTCTTATCAGTTGCTACCACATTCGTTCACTCAACTTCTTGGTCCCCGCCTCACCCCACATATCATACATGAGTGCAAACTCTCCACTGTCAACGCGAACGGCGTAACGAAATTGGTGACATCAACATTTCGACGTCCGTTATCAGCTCCTATCAGTAGTTATCACTTCCCGCCACCCGTCATCAGTGTTCACCTCCGGCCCCCTATATATCCTAGAAGTTTGAGCGCTCTGGGTCCAAAGGGGGTGAAGTTATGAATTTCCGGTCAGACACACACACAACCGCTTAGCCGATTATATATAGTAGGATCGTTACATTCACTGATCTCTAGATAAATCACTGAAAATGAACTGAGCTACCCTCTGGTTTGAAATCTATTGATTACTGTTGTAGTAGATACTTACTATCACTTTTGGATCGATTACACAAAATACATTTTCCGGTTTTGGAGCCACTACATACAGTCGATATCCGAAAGTTGGGGTAGGCGTGTCACCGGAAGTGACGTGCACTTGATAGAAGTTGCGTGGATAAGCTGTTGCCAGCATGCTTTGCTGATATCCAGCGATGTATGTTGGAAGCAGCTTATCCACATAGCTTCTATCAAGTGCACGTCACTTCCGGTGACACGCCTACCCCAACTCACGGATATCGAGTATACTAGTTTAATAGCTGCTACCTGATGCTATGCGATCCATACAGCTTACCACCGAAATGCAAGAAAAGAGCTAAAGAGGCGTAATCTGCTTTATATGGGTGACTGTTTTTATGAGAGTGACTTCGTTAAGTTCCTAGCCTCGCAATTTGAGTGCGAGGCGAGGAACTCCAATACCTCCCTGTGCAAATCAGAATGGCAGACTCCGAATCAAAAAAGTTAGAGAAAGACAAAAACAAAAATCATAAAGAAAGAAGAAGTGAGGTCAGAGAAATCACTGTCGGCGTAATCCACAATTTCATACCAAAGCTTTGGTATTCGAATGGCACCCAGCAACAAAATGATGTCATTATGCACATTTGCCTTGCTTTGTTTATTTCCCTATTTATTTTTGTATATTATTCAGTTCATATGTACTTTTTATTCAATTATTTATCTATTTGTAACTCAACTGTAGTGCACCAATAGAGGGAACTCGGTGAGAAATTTTGAGCGAAGAGCATGGCAGACCGCGGAATTTATACTGCTTAGTTTGTTTGTATATTCCTGTAAAAACTCCCTTAAAGACGCCAAAATACTCGCGGAGAATAGAATCAGAGAACCAATGCATCGGCGTAGGTACGGGAGACCATCCACTTGCCATTTTTGCTTCATTTCGTGGGAAACTACTGTTACAGGCCTTTCTGATACCCTCTGAGAAGAACGAGTGATGACAGAGCCGCCTGGAAGCACCATTTGAAACAGTCGAAGTTATATACAGGGGGGCCAAAAAAAAACATTTTGCCTATGTCGGACTTCGGCTCTTTTTTCTTCGCAGAGATTGCTGTCGTTGACGGGAGTTCCTCAGCAGAGTATTCCCTAAGTGTTCCTCTATAGTGTACGCAGGCTCTCCTTCACTGCCCTCACCGTCTTCAGAATATGACGTCATCTGTCACCGTCGTCAGGCTCAAGGAGGTCTACCGTAAGAGCTTCAGCCTGAAGCTCTTACGCAATTTCGTGAATCGATTTAATGTTGGATAGTTTTCTAGAGGCATTAGCTACCACTGTGCAAATCCCCTCGGAACTAGCTTTCCAGTAAGGGTCGTTATGGTACACGATCCTTCGAAGACCCCATTGAGATCGACCAGTGCACCATGTTTCCAGGGCTAATTCTTCTGATGCCGTCCACGTACGTGGCCACTATGAAGATTTTCTTATAGAATGGAATGCACTCTTAATAATAAGTTGGAACCGTTCGGTCTGAGTTGAGTAAAATGTGCTTAAATCCATCTGGAAGTGGAGGCAAAATGTCTTTTTTTTTTGGCCCCCCCTGTATATGTTGGCTTGTGAATACGGAGGTAGGGAAATGTCCTCCGGTGTTCGAGAAAGTGCCTCATAAAATGTCATTCAGCCTATGTATTACCAATTTAAAAAGGCTTAATGACCATGACTGTCCGCGTGACCATCTCCAGGCCATAGCCGGCGGCGTAATGAGGCGACGCCTTTTCGATGCTACTTCTGTAGTCATACTGGAGCCTCAAGAAGTTTTGAGACTCTTCCATCCCATTCACGACCGCACGGGACTTTCAAGGTCTGCCCGTTCGGACCAGCGCCGGATTGCACGATAGCAGGAGAGTGACGGGTTTTCGTCAATAAAATTTGAGTCGGATGGATTGCTTGTTTGCTTGGATCTGGAGGATGAATGGTAGGGTATGAAATTCTTGTTCAGAACAAAACTTTCCAAATTCCATTTGAAAACCCGGCAGCCCCGGTCGAATGCCATTATCCACGAGTGAGATCTTCTGGCAGCCATCCGGTGGATGCCATCGTCCTAAGTGAGCACCTTCGTGGCAGCCACCGGTGACTGCCATTGTCACGAATGGGTTACCCATCTAACTCGCGGCCGACATTATATGGCATATGGAAGTTAGAATTGTGAAATTTCTATGTTTGTAGCATGTATTTATCTTAAATCGTTGCGATCAGCTTAACGATAGGTGGGTTGTAGTACCCAAGGGTCACATCTCAGCGATGAATCTCATGAGGCCAAATTGTCGAAATTAACTTTAGGCACAGAACTGATGCCCGGCAAACCGTTGGAACACCCTTCTGTGCGTTTCTGCACGCCTTCCGCTGTTTGCTCCATTTTTAATTGATTCCACCACCATGTGGAGGGTGGTGGAGATACACACCTTGTGGAGTTGATGTGTATGCACAATAAAAACCTTTCGAGAGGGCATCATTACAATCGAGATTGTGTTAGAATGATATCTTACCGAAATCTTACCCCTGATTGGATCTTAGACCAGGTTGGCGGTTGGTTCCCTCCTCCTCCCTCATCTTATCTCTTTCGAGAAACGCCAAGTTCCATCCCTCCACTGCCCAGCAAGGTTACAGCCGTTTTGGATGTTATCACAATCGTGCCATTGCAAAATATTTAGCGCATTTAGTGGATGTGTCCGTGCAAAAACTCAGGAAAACCCAAATGCACGAGCTACCATAACAGGAAGGCAAGGGAAGAGAAAATTTGCTAGAAACAGTCCCCAAACTGTCACCCATACAGGCAGAGTGTGTTCTGACGCTTTACGCCTGGATCATCAAGTTATAGGCGTGGATAACCGGTGATTCACATATGAGAGATTTGCAGGGCAAAGAATGTGGGCCGATCACAACGAAAAGCACGAAGTAGCCAAACCGAGACGAATAACAGGTCACTCTATTCATCGCTGTAAAGATTTGCGTAGCCAAAGATTGTGCCCCTATCTGACATCTCAATAGGACTCCAGCTACTTGCAGAATTGATAGTTATTCTGAGAATAAAACCCAATTTTACAAAGATTCTTGGACATTCCCGCAGAAACAACAGAAGCCACAAAGAGAACATCCAAATCCCTATTTCAAATATAACTGAATTGGAGACTCCCATGGTGCCAGACATATCAAGTTGGTAATTGAAAGAAAAATTGAAGGTCAATCAATAGCTAAACTTCTACTTACCTCATCGCGATAATCAGGTTCCTCTTCATCATCTTTTGTCACATAGTTAGGATCGAGAAAATCGACTAATTCCTTGCCAAGAAGATCCGTCAACGCTGAAAGGTCAGCTTGAAATTTGAGCGTGGCCACTTTCTTATTATAACTCGACTTCATAACTTACGATCGAATTCTTCCGGCTTTGCTAGTGGCGACGGTGGAGGCATGGGTGGCACAGAAGCACCGACCAACTCCCTTGAATGCTCCATATCCGGAATGAAGCGTTTTGGAGGCCTAATAGCTTGCCTCTTCAAAGAAAGTGTTGACAGCAATGCTGTAGGCTTTGATGTCTCTCCAGTGGAAACCACCTTTTCAGTGGATCTTCCTGGTCGTTCGATTTCTTTGGCCTTCACTTCTCCTGATCTCCTCTCTTTATTCTTCATGGTGTTTGCTTCGTGAAACAACTGCCTGATCAACTTCCGGGCATCCTCACTTTCCAGTACCTTAGGCCGTAGTTTTCCGTCGACGACTGCCACATGAGACGTACCAATTTTGGAAAGTGCTGGTTGGGAAGACTTCCCAACTCCACTGGTTGAAGAATGCGATGTTTTGTTGTTGCTGTGCGACAACGGTGCCGCAGGGATCGAAGCCGTCCGCGATAAGACCTCCTAAAGTAAAAGAATCGAGCAATAGAGCAGATTGAGTGGCAACTCAATGGAAAAACATCGATAATTATCTGAAATTTGAAAGGAAGCACAGAAAAACAGTGCAATTATCTGGCTTGGATTTATGGGACTGGACAGCGTGTCCAGTTCTCGTTTTGGCAGATGAAAAAGTGATTTCCTACAGGCGCTACGTATGAGGGACATAGCTTACCTTTTTCTCTTCAATAGGCACACATTTTTTAACTTTCATGAGGATTCGATCAATCATCACCACGGCATTCACGTCTCCATCGGCCTTTTCCATAACGAATAGCACCTGAAATCGTAAGCGACAATTCGTTTCACTGCGTCGGCCCGCACAATGGCTTTTCGTGCAACCGAGACGCGGTTGGCTTGGACCCGTTCCGACGTTTTCTCATAAACTGAAGAAAGTCGGTCGCATTGAATATGCAGATCTATTGAACCGGAGGCGCATCCGCTTACCATCATCGGCGGTCGATAGCATGTCAGACGGTGTCGAAAGGAATGTGTGAGAGCGTGAGACGGATGATGTGGCTCACGGGTGGCCGAACCCATTGCTAATCGGGATGACCACGCGTTAAACGTTCTCACCTGGACATTGCTTCCTTTCGGCACCACCAAGTTCTGACTGATCACTTGACTTTGTCGAGATGGTTCAGCTGGATGACAGTTCTCACTACGAATCGCCTGCCCCATCCGTCTCCAACATAGCATAAGACGAGCCGTCGGACTTTGCCAGTGCCTGAACAAGTCACCTCAATTCATTCACGTCCCACTTAAAATCCCATTCTAATGGGTCGTCATGAAATGGATGATTCTTGTTTCAACGCTTTAACGATGCTGAAAGTTGGCCCACTTGAGCGCCACGCGTTGTTGAGACGATAATTGCGACGAGCTAATAATAAATCCTGCTGAGGATCCGAGAGGATTGGATTCAGGAGGATAAATACGACCTCTAACATCAGTAGGCAAAGCCTTGTCATAAATAAGAACTTGCCATCTACAAAATTTGTAGGAAAGGGCCGACAAAACGCGAGCTGTACTGGAAAAATTCGGAATTTTTGAAATCTTAATTTTTTCTGGAACGGAAGAGCAAAAGCTAAACTTTTGAGGCCGTGCCATTTTTATTGATTTTTTGTCTACGACAGAACATTCTTTGTAGCCTAATAAGCGCTTTCTTGGCCCAAAAAAGTTTCAGGACAAGGTCAGGAGCAGACTGCGATGTTCCATAGGGCAACATACTAATTTCCGACTACCTGGCCCTTCTTCCGTCTTTCCGCCATCCCCCTCCCCTTCCTCACACCAAGAGCCATGTCATCGCATATCAAAAGGGTAAATAGTTAGTGATAATTATTACAAGAATGCTGAGTTGTGGGCAAAACTTGTGTAACTGGTAGCACAATTGCCCGGAAAGCGAGAGATCCGGGTTCGAGTCCCGCCTGGGGCGAAAGTTTTGTTCACAACCCAGCATTCTTGTGAAACATTCGCAACGCGAACTGCGGCGTAAAACAGCAGTTAACAACAAAACAAGTCAAAACAGTTAGTGATAATATTCCTTAAGTCCCTCACTTAACACCCGCAGACATACGCTACTTATCTGCTTGCTCCCTAAACGACCTCATGATTTCAAAAAGTTGTGACCTTCACCGCATCCTCCCCGTCCTCCCCCAATCCCCACCACGAAAAGTAAATACGATCCTCATGCGATCTGTACGATTTTCGGACCGCACTCTTGACCCTGTGGCTGGGCCCTTTCGGAAAAACCCTCCCTGCAAGTCTTCAAACCAAGTCTTATCCTCGAAAAATGCAGGATGACGATGCAGCAATTATTTTCCCTCAGTTAAACCCGGCTTTTTCCCAAGTCGGGTTAGATGACGCTCCCATTCATAACTCATAACTTCAGAATGTGCCCGATATAAATGAAATTCACGATGACACGATGGTAATTTTGTCAGGACCTTTGAACGACGTCACTTTCCCTTTCGCACGAGTTTTGTCTGGATCGGTGAAGAAATAGGGCGGCTGTACTCTACATAGCCGCATAGCCTTTTCAGGAAAAAACACGACCTTATCACCATCCATAGCGGAATTTGAAGAATCACTAAACACTGGAACACTTGATAGCTCACCTGTATTGCACATTTACCTTGCCATCAGCGGAGCAAAACGGGCACGAGCCAAAGGTAGCCTGGCCCTTTCGTCGGCTTTGTAGGAGATAATTTCCCACTGAAACCATGTTTGGCAAGATCTATATCATACTGTAGTGAAATGAAGTTGATACCTGGTGGAAGTCGACTTCTGCCTACAAGAAACGTTCGACGAAATTCGTTGATATTAATAGCTCTACCGCTTCGAATCTGCCATTTGGTATTCTCATCGAGTGACTGCCAACAGCATGGTCTGCGAAAATCACAGCTGAGGTCATCGGCGAGGACGGCTGAGGCTAAATAAGATGTGACAATAAGGAGGATGTCTTTAGAGCAAACCCGAAAACAAAGAGACGGATCGAATTGGACCTTGCAGTGCGAAGAGGAAGAGACCGGCACTACGCAACAGCATCCACGACTTGTCCTATCATCGGCCCGCCCAACCCCCAAAGCGCCCGAAGAAATCGCATCGATATGCCGCGTACAGAGGGTCGTGGCGAGTCATTCATTCATGGCGTCCTCACACCTCATACATCCGGCTGACTTCATAGTCTCCCTACCCTGTAACTGCCGACAATTGTTCAAGTCCAAACGATCATTACGATTTCTTGATCGAGTACGCTACTGTAAGATTGAGTACAGATAAAGTTCGCTTTCGTATGTGGAATCGTTCTCGGGTAACCATGAGGACTGGTGTTGACTAGCCCGAGAACGTAATGAACGTTCGCGCCGATGATGGGCTTCGCTATGAAATGGGATTTATCGACCAACTCAAGTGATAGATAGGGACTTCAAACGCGGTAAAAACATTAGCTGCGTTGGTAGGGAAACACCTGTCACGTCTAAATTGGGAAAAGAAGTTGCTTTTTGAAGACTCATAGCAAAGCTCCTTTACGCTTGATTATGTACATATAATCACATGATTTATGAGGCATGTGTTGCTGAAGACTGCCGGTTCAAGACAGGGTTCGCACTTGCGATTTTTGTGAGGGGGGGGGGTTAGGGGGAGTGCGTGGTGGAATTGGCATTGTAGGGTGGCAAAATAATGCTAACCACGAGTACGCGCGGTCAAACCCACCTTTTTCCCAATCTCTCCAACTTTCCTCTCCCTTTTTGAGCAAAATGTGACAAAGGGCAATTCTTCTCCTAATGATACCAAATATCATAGTTCTCGAAATTAGTGAAATAATCACATCGCGGGATGCTAATCCTCAAATTAGACACAAGGGGCTCTGGCATGGTTCATATGTCGTCAGTTAGCGTAGCAAAGAAGTTCTTATCAGCAACGGTCAACGCTTGAACAAGTCAGGAACCACCAAGGATAGAAAAGAGGAAATTTTGAAGGTTAAATTTGGTACCAGGACAAATGTCAGATGCAGAAGCTCGCTCTCCTCCTTGCGACTTCGCATCGCCAAATTGAATAAAAAGATGTAGAAGGCCACTTAGACACTCTTAAGATCCACTGCATGTCACGGACAAAAAGCCGCATGAGTACATCACTTTGGACATTTCAATAGGACGAGGCTGATATTTATAAGGCAAACAACCTGGAAAGGGATTTTTCGTGTTCCATGTCTGCTAACAACTATTATCAAGAACCCCGGAATCCGCCACCGGGTTCAGCTAGATCTACTGCATGGAAAACCTGGAGGGATTTTGACTCACCTAAACGCACCATGCACGCTCTCCATCTTTCTGAAGGCCTCCATTAATGCAATAGCTTACAAATTTGGATCCACATTCGCTGACGACTTTTCGAGTTTCGTTTGTTTTATTAGCTGATTTTTCCTATTTAGCGATACAGTATCTTAGGTAGTGTAAGTTTGGCCCTCGCAATAGTTACGGAAGGCATTGGGAAAGGAAACTTTTGGGAAGTGGGAGAACTTTTGAAAATCTTGAGAATCTTCCGAAAACAGTTTTGAATGGTCAGTCTCAGGCGTTTCGGTTCTTATACTTCCTCCCACCCTTTCCACACGTACAGGGTTTTGAAGGCCAAACTATTTCTCCTGGGGCTAGGTCTATCAACATTACAGCGGCCATTCATAAAGAGTCTAACAAGGGAAGGATACCAGGTCGAAGTGGCGATATTTGTAACGAGTTATACACCACAATGTGTTTTTGGGTGCCGATCTCGAATCTGCTCTCTAAATCTGCGAAACGATTTTCTGAACGTAGCTATGAAGCGAGATAGTGCAGTGGCAGCGGGCCCGGGCCGACGAACAAGAGGTCGTGGATCGAGTTCTTGGTGAATTCTTACCTTTACTTTTCTTGAAATCCTTGTTTAAGGAACTTTCATCCATGCTTAGTCATCAGCGATTGCCGATCATACAAGTGGAAAGAGCTGGGGAAGTGC